CAGGACGAGGGATATATTTTATTACCAGCACAACAATACCAGACAGTACAACAACAATATCAAAATCCACTACTAGTTGGAGCTGGTGTTACAGCCGCACCACATACAAATTACTCCACAGCTAATAACAACGACACTGCTTTACTGATAGGTGACGGACATCGTTTACACCAGTCACCAGAAGCGCATACGCAATATAATAACAATAATAATACTGCGGCGAAGAATCTGCCAATCGAAGACGCTGACGACAAGTATTCGAAAGCTAGTCGTCAGTGGAACTTACGTGCGCTTTCTACACGTATACAGGCCACTTCTGGACAAGCATTGCGTACATTTATACAACAGCCCCTAAGTGCAGCTGCGGCCGTTGTGACTGGCAATCATTCTCCCATTGAAAATCACGATTTTAATCAGGATATATCAGGAACATACAACGCATACAAAGCCGAACAGCAGACAAATAAATTACAAAACGATTTAGACGATTCAGATTCAGAGTCGAGTAGTTCGAAGGAAATTGTCTACGTTATGGCCGCAAGAGATCGTACAGGTGAATTTACGAGTGCTATACGTTCACTGCAGTCTCGTAATATATCGCGCGCTGTTTCCATACGCGATCCACGCAAAGCGAAACAAGTGCAAAGCTATTCGGAGTTTATGAATATCGCCAAATACATTGGAAAGAACATTGCCAGCACATATGCCAAATTGGAAAAACTAACTTTATGTAAGTGTGTTAACTATTTTAATTCTATGCTTATTATGTAGATATGCAAATTTTTCAGGCAACTAAAGAATAATTATGAATGTACTAATGTATGTACATGATTGCATATTTAAATCTTGATCGGTGATCGTTTTTAGGTACTAAATAAGTGTTTTAACCAATACGTCTAAATGGTATAAATGGTTAGTCACTTTTTTATTTCTCTGATTCTGCACATTTCCATCGATGAATCCAGGATACCTACTATTACCAAACCCGAAATCTTGGGTGTCGTACGCAATACTTGGTTGAAGAGTCGCAACAACGTGCTGAAAGCAATAAAAGAATAAAGTTAAAGAAATCCTACTACACACATACCAGGCAATAGAGTAATCTATTACGGCTTATACTGCTTTAGTATGTCATAGCTCAGCACTATGCACTTCAACCGATTACCAACGTATGTCGCATATTCCTCATCTTTACGCAGTGTTTTAAATGCTCTATACAAATGAACATAACCGGCTGGTTCCAAAACCATATCTTCATACGGGCCAAACAAATAGACATCTAAATGACGCAACAGTGAATAGTGTGAATAGAGACCTTCTTCCAAGTTGCATACGTTGCTTTTCTTCTTTGTACCAGTGAGGTCGAATAACTTCTTCTAGACTATGGTTGTATTGCAAAAAGTTTCCAAGACGTCTGAATTGATTTTCGGCTATACTCATGGCAGACAGTTATTTATATATCATTTTATGCTTTTACTCATCTGTTTTGATTTTTAGATCCGTCGTATCTCTAAGTTTAGATAGGGGTTCAACATCTCCATTTCGTTGCGCCTTCTTTGTTGTTGTTGTATTCAAACGCTCACCTGAAAGCAAGCACATAAAAGGTTGATAAAATACTGTATAATTGGTTGGGATGAGAAAATTAATATGAAGTAAGGATGGAGTAAGGAAGATGGAACAGGTAGGGATACTGAATTTAAACTGGGTCCACGCGTACATTTATACTTTCTATTATTATCCAATTATTTTATCTTCCTTCTATTAAACGTGACATTAAGATGGCTAGTTTTATTTTTTATTATTAGACAAATTTGTTAATTAAAGAGGTTTCGTAAAGTAGTGTACTACCACAATAAAAATTCATTTTTATATTATTTAATTAATTGATTTTTTTTTAAAGATTTGTTAATAGTTTTTGTAATTAATTTTATTCAAATTTTATTGAGAAAACGAATTTTTTAGTTATGATTAAATCTGGTTTTTGTAGGTACAAATTAGTAATAACATCTGGACAGTTCTGTTATAATAAATTTTTTATTCTCAGTACAATGACAAGTGTTTTTTTTTAGATAGTCAAAATGATGAATAATGGTAAATTTTAATAGTTCGTTATAGAACATAAGTTTTGATATTTTTTTAAATAATTATTTACCGTTTCATTGTTTCAGACAATTTATTGAAACGATTTTCAATAGTTAATAGCAAAAACATGCTATTGTAAACAAACTAAAAATTGGTTTTTCAATATTTATTGGAAGGGGTGCGTAGAACCTCTCTGGGATCGTCTGGTATCACTAGAACCATAATGAGAACTAATTTAGTACTGTTTTAACGATATTTTCTTTGGGTGTATATACTCGTATATTTCTAATAACTTCAACATGACTTTATATCAAATCTATCGACATAATGCAATTTTGTAAAAAATGGAACTGTCGTTATTGTCATTGTTAGACCCTAATCATTGAAGATCAGAATTAGTTGAAAATAAAAAATATTGTTTCAATATAAATTGTGTGAACATACATCTTTTATACTCCGGCAAAATTTGAATCCAATGTATCAGTCATATAGTTCTGACTTTGTCACGTTTGATTATGTTATCATTTTTCTCTATCTGTTAATTTTTTTAGTGAAAGCTAAAAGATTTTCTAAACAGAAGTATTCGCCATCGAAGGATATGCACAGATTTTTCTTTACAAAGCTATCAGAGAAACATAACCATAATATCCGTCAGTTCAGTAGCGATTTGAGCATTAAGCTCCTATGAAGTTGATCCTAACTTATTATTGGGGTATCTTCAGAAATTAAATTAGCTAGACAGCAAGAAAAGTGAGCTTTCACTCGATTCTTGGACATGCAGTTATCCATAAAAATAAGACAGCTGATTAACTTGTTGTCGGTCTCTATGGTGATAATCGAGCGTCAACTAAACTGCAACATAAAATTACAAACCAAAATGAGTATAAGGGCGAGTGCTTAGGTAGCAAGAAAGTCAAGAGAGGCAGAAACTCTTCGCAATCTTTAAAGGTTTGAAACAAACTAAATTACTATTCGGTAACTATAATAGCAAGACTTAATTTTGGTTTATGCACTTACTCAACAATATCATAAATTAAATACATATATTAAGTTATGCCAGTCACTATAAAGGGATGCCTGAGCTTCAATTCTAAGGTGTAGATACTGCGACGAAGAAGCTGAATCGTGAAATTTGCTTTAAGAAGACGCTAAAGAAGATATATTGAAATTCCTATACCACTTAGAAGTATTATCCCAAATAAGGTTGAAATTGTTATTACATTTTCTTGATGTATTTTAATATGTCATTAGGACTATATTTTAATATATATGGAAGATGGTAGTGTAAGTTCAGGTAAAACCATAAGTCGTTCTAATGACCATATGTCAATCGTTTGCTTTTAATCTTAATCCCAAAACATTCTATTCATAGAACAGGTACTTTAAATCTTAAAATGATCAATTAAAAGAAAATTACTTATTAAAGTTGAGTTGTAATTTTTTTTATGAAATATTTTATTTATTTCTTTTTTATAGAACAGTTAGAATTTGTTTTTAAATAACATCTTGAATTGGAGTCAATGCTACCCTAGTAGCAAAAAAATTATAAAAAACCAGTCTATAGTGTGTTACATAAAACTACTTGATATAAAAAAATAATTTTATTTATTGTATGTTTACAATAAATTATATATATTTTTAATTTATTGTAAGAGAAAAGATTTAATGAATAATTTTTATATATAGAAAAATTTTTCTGTACAATATAAATTAATTGACTTTTATTTATTTTAGTGGCCAAAAAGAAGAGCTTGTTCGATGATAGATCACAAGAAATCCAGGAATTGACTTATATAATCAAAGGTGATCTGAGTGCACTGAATCAACAAATTGCTCGTCTACAAGATATCTCCAAGGACCAGAAGCGTACTAATAATGGCAAACATCTCGTCTCACATTCCTCAAATATGGTTTTAGCTTTACAATCAAAATTAGCAAGCATGAGCACTGATTTTAAGCAAATACTTGAAGTGCGTACCGAAAATCTCAAGCAACAAAAAAATCGAAGAGATCAATTCAGTCAGGGACCAGTACCAGTTAATTCCGTCTCATCAACGACAGCGAAACAAGGATCATTACTGCTTAGCGAAGAGAATCAGGCAGTTAGCATTGATATGTCAGCTAGCGATACAACGCCATTACTTGGACCGCCCGCACGTATACAAACACAACAACAGATTGCACTATACGATGAATCCGATAATTATGTCCAACAGCGCGCCGAAACTATGCAAAACATTGAATCCACTATTGTTGAGTTGGGTGGTATTTTCCAACAATTGGCGCATATGGTTAAAGAGCAAGAAGAGATTGTAGAACGGATCGATACGAATATACAGGACGCCGAAATGAATATTGATGCTGCACATAGTGAGATATTGAAGTACTTCCAATCGGTATCAAAAAATCGTTGGCTAATGATTAAAATTTTTGGTGTTTTAATATTTTTCTTTATATTTTTTGTTGTCTTCTTGACATAATAACAAATTTGTCAAACCCTGGTATACAAATACACCACAAACACATACACACATACACACTTAGTTGCATTTTAACATTAATACCTAACTATTCGCATAGATATTTTAATTTTATTAATTTTATTTTTGTCTACAAAATTAGTACAATCCTTTTTGTTATTGAAAAATTCATGTCCGCAAAATTTAAAATTTCCAACTAAGCTTATTTTGATATTTATCTGTAATTCTACAAAATTTTCCACACGCGAATGAATTCAAAATAAAAAATTAATAAAAAACCCTATTGTAAAATAAAATTCATATATAAAATTGTTTTTAAATTATTAAGGACTACTTATGTGATTTTTTCAAAAGTAAAAATGTAACTATAATATTTATTATTAATGAAATAAAAAATAAATTGTATATATAACTGTATTTAATTGTAGAATCTACTAGAATTGATGCAGTGCATTTTATAGCTCTATATTCGAAAGTGTTTCGTTAATATGTATAATAAAAATTATAATATATAGCAATTTATTGATGCTTTTATATATTCTTTATTATTCTAAAATATACATGGGGGTCTGTTATCTAATAAATATATTTAAAAATATATTCTAATTTTATTTTTGTTCTTCAAATTTGATTATTTTTTATTTATCAAGTAATCAAGTAATTGACGTTGAAAAAAAAAACTAAATTCATCCAGTTCAATTTATATTTTCTAAAAGTACGTTCCTTCTGTTAGCCAAATCTTAGCAATCACAGAGAGAATGCGTGTTTGTTTCTTTTTCGTCCAATTTTTCGCAACTTCTACAAAAAGTGTTGAACGAAAGGCGCAATTTATTTCCATATCGTTGTTGTTATTGTTGTAACCCGCTGGGACTTGTAAGCAGATAATATGAAAGGATAGATAATACGATTACATCGATGGGTAGTTATTGGGGGTGTTGGAGAGGCGGAATGAGGAAAAGGGGTGGTTTAGATGGGTGGGATTTGATAGAACATTAACCTGTGTCCAGACGGAGAAATCTGGCCACTTCAATGGAGTGGGTCCAAAGGTCAATAGGACGGAGGTTTGTGTGCGTTGTAAAATAGGAGAGCAGATGGACGATGTCTTTGAGAGTAGAGCAGGAGTTTGGGCACACATTGGGAATAGACGTGTTAATGCATGATAAGTAACTGTTTAACACTAAGCTATATCTTGATCTCAATTGAGATAGGACATTTTTTGCTGCACGACGTCATTTTTCCAGAGAGATTTATTTATTTAACATAACGAAATATTCAAACAAATTTAACATAGCTGGAGATATAAATTGCAAGGATCAGTTTAATTGGATAACTTACTAACAACCTGAAATAGCATTGCATTACAGCTTTGAAACCATAACGGCATCCATAACGTAAAAGAGTTGCCAGCAAAAAACAATATATTAAAAAATGTATCTATCTTATTATATATAACTTTGAAAGAATATACTTCTAGGAGGCAATTTTATATACATATATGGTCATATGCTAAAATTGAAATAAAATAAGCTACTTGTTATAATATGCGATTAAAAAATTAGAGAGATTCCTAATAGATGTTCATAGATGGATGACCAAATCAACAGCAAAAACCAAACCAATAATGAAAAATGGGACGTTAAATGTCAAAAGTGATTGAATGTGTTCATGTGCCAACGCAGAATAGACGTATATATATTAAGACCCACAACGAGTCTTAATATATATATAATGCACAAATTTATAAATATTTTTTACTGATTCTTTCTAATGGTGTTTAGAATTTTGGAGTAAGAACCAGCCTTCACACTAGACAGACATATATTCAATGATAGAACAAATTAGTAAGACTTCTCTATAAATATAATTTATACTATACATTAAAAGGTTTAAATGTTTAAATATTTTATTGAATGTTTTATAGGCTTAATGTCATGTACACCAATTGATCAGATTTATGTCACAATATGGCAGAAATAGAGCTTGTTAGCAAACATTGATATTTTATGAACTAGTAGAGATAATCAAATGATATAAATACTTATTGTAGGCGCCCATCGGAACCTCTCAACCATTGAACCCAAGCATAGTTAAGTTTTCTATCTTTTTAAATATCATAAATTAAATTACATAAAAATTTTTTTATAATTTTGTATATTTACAATAAGACCTAGATATTAATTTTTAAATAACGATATCATTACGTAGGGACGAAATATTGGATATACTTTTTATTTTGTTGATAAGCTACTCATATAAAAATCTGAAATTAGAACTCTAATTGATCTAATATCATATGTTATACACTCTATGCATCCATTATGCTTGTAATTTGAGATATAGTGCAATATAGTGTATGAAGCTACATTCGAAAAAAAACAAAAAGAGGTACTTCAATACTTTATAATCCAATCCAAAAAAAAATTTTTAATATAATTTTTACTTTTATGAAATATAAATTTTGGTTACAAAATAGTGCAATTCAGACAACTACAGGCACGAACTAAGAATTATACAAATGTTTCTAAAAGTTTGATAAAATGTTCATCAATAATGAAACCGTACAGATGCGCAGGGTGTACTACTTGTTAAAGCAAAAGAGTTTCGGAAAAAGGAAATAAAACATTCTTCGTCATATTTACATAAATTATATTAAACAGTTAACACCATATAAGTTTACATAAGATCTTATATAGCTTTCATGGCTTCAAATTAGAATTAAATTGCTTTAATATAGCACTAAAGTGCTTTATCATAGCACTTTCATAAATTATTTTATTCGCTTTGAAATTCAATGACATACAATATGACCTAATCACTTGCTTAACTTGCTTGACTATAACAACCTTAATAAGTGTTATCTGAAGTTGCTTTCTAATCGGCATAAAAATTATGGTCTCATTGGCTTAATTTAGGATTTGTTGCAGTATAAATATCTAGCCAATGATGGCGTGATCAGGTGAAAAACTGTCCTATTAGAACCAATCATTAAGTTGGTGTGGTACGCTTGAAAGTACTTTGTACGAAATTGGTATTAGGCTGAGGAAATGCTCGAGTCTACTTTTTATAAAATAGAACAGAGATTACTGTGATTCTAATCGTTAGAGAAGTTTTTAATAGTCGCTATATGCTAACACGCATTTTGTTATGGTTACGTGATGAAATCACATTACCATCTTTTTTGATTAGGTACCATCGTCATATAACAGTTTGGAGAAATGTTTCTTCATACATTTGAAGTGTATTTTCCATCAATCACGATGTGATCAATCTAATTTCTTGTTGAGTGATCGGAGATAGACACGCAAACTCGTGAATAAAGCCACCATGAGGACTTTAAAGCAAGTTGTCGTCTTTAAGGTCCTGTTCTTACGACCGTTTATATCAACGGAGTAGACCAAATCAATGAAAAATTGTGCGCGTGATATGCGTTTCTTTCAATATCAAATTCAGCAAATTTCGGAGAGGAAACTGAAATACCAAAAAGTAAAATTTATCGAATTTCGACCGAAGATATGAGTAAATATAAAGCCTGTAAAGCTTTTTGGCACTCACTCCGAAGCAGTCCAGTTACAGTTACTTATCTGTAAGCGTTACTTATTATAAATGATGTTGGTGTTTCTAATATGTGCCGAAAAGTACTTTAGAGTGCAGAATATGAAAGCTACCAGAAGAGTCAAAAGAGATAAAAGTATACTTTCACAAGAGAGAAATCAAGACAACGCTAATAGTTTTCTTTGATTCTAACCGATTTAAAGGATATTGTTAAACGTGGTTTCGATCCAAATGATTAGAAGGTGATTGCAGAATATCAAATTGACGTTCTGTAATGATTTTGAATCGAAATATCTAGAGATAGTCAGTTAATTTTAATTACATAATACTGCGCCTTCACACAAATCCTTCATAGTGCGTGAGTACCATTGAACAGTGTTGTGTGTATTCACTTAATTTGGCTCAATGCGATAAAAAACCTTTTGAAAATATCGTTAAACGGTTTAAGTGCGGTGTTGACTTATAAGAAGACTGTTCTAAATAAACTAAAATAAAGAATCAATGTAAGAAACTCTTTGTATTTTATTGTAGTTAGCTTTATTGGATCTGGGATACTTATAAGAAAACTGTTCTAAATAAACTAAAATAAAGGATCAATGTAAGAAACTCTTTGCATATTTTTTGTAGTTAGCTTTATTGGATCTGGGATACTTATAAGAAGACTGTTCTAAATAAACTAAAATAAAGGATCAATGTAAGAACCTCTTTGTATATTTTTTTGTAGTTAGCCTTATTGGATCTGGGATA